CTCTGCCTTGAAAATCTTGCTCTCAAACTTCTCAATTGCCTTCTGCTCTCCATTCAACGAAGCCACAGTACGGATAGAGCCCAGTGTCTCCTTGGCCACTGATCCTGCTTCAGCATACACCTTCTGGGCAAAGTCCGACATGATCGTGAACGTCTTGATCATCCAGTTGAGCGAGAGCGCCATGACAAGCATCACACACGCCATCACCAGCGTGATATTCCACCCATGGGCGGATCCGATGATAAAACCCACGACAAACTGGATCGAGTATCGAAGCGAATCGCCGAGCTTGTGGCCCATGCCGTCCCTGATCCTCACCGTGTTGCCCGTCAACCGACTGGACAACTGCAGCGCGTCGTGCGCGTCGTACCAGCTGATGTCCATGTACAGCATGTGCTTGAGCGCTTCACCCTCAGTGCCTTTATCTGTCGCTCGGCGCTGTAGTAGAACGCCACGTACGAGACGTAGTCCGTGATGAAGAGGAAGATGGTGATATACAGATAGTCGAGAGCCGCGCTGTTGACCTTGTCCATGTCCACAGGCGTGGTAGTGAACCCCGTCAATACATCGCCGAAGACAATGGCCATGAGGGGGAACAAAGCGCCATTGGCTCCCGTCGTGACGATACCGACCGCGAGTAGAACTTTGTCCAACGTCGTGGCGTAGCGGTACAAGTTGCTGAAGTTGAAGGAGGTGGGGCCATCGTGCACCATTTCATGACGAAGGTCCGGTTCCTTGGCCCCAGAGTCGCTGCTAGTGCCGTAGCTTGGGGTGTTCACCCGCATGGGCTTCACATTGACGTCGACAGCACGGGCGCGAGGAGTTTCTACGCGCTGGTAGGCGCCTGATCTTCGGGGGTGAGCTCCGACTTGCTCAACATGACGCGACTTCACTGGGTGGTGTCTTGGCAAACCGCGAAATGCGGCTCGACAATATGCTGCATCGAGTAGTGTCCGTGACACCCTTACGAACGGCGAGATGCGTCGAATAATCATTCGGGCGTAGAATAATCAATGTTTCGTCTTTGTATGCAATTCATCATGATTGCGTACGCCGAAGCACTCGCTGATGTGAAGGGTCACCTCATCGTTAAGTTTCTGCAGGGTTATGTAGTGCTGTGTGTTGCTGTTGTGCCGGTGAGGTTTTAAAAGCGTTCCAGCGTCCGCGCGGCCGTGGACAGCGGCACTGACGAGCAACTGCAGCAACTTGTGCAGCCCCCCAATGGCGCTGCCAATGACGCAGCTGCTGAGGGCTGCGAAACTGCGCGCGGGCGGCCAGTTGACGCAGATCGTGACGTGCAACCCCAAGAGCCTGGAGGACGCGCTGGTGAAGCAGTTCCAGCAGCTCGGCGAGGCGCTGGGCGTGACGGAGGTGGGGGAGGCCATGGCCCAGCAACACTACAGCAGACTGCAGCAGTTGAAGGAGCAGGCGAGAGTATTTGTAGATAGTAATGGTAGGAAAGCGAAGGTGTTGATGGTGGAGTGGCTCGAGCCGCTGTTCCTCGGCACGAAAGGCTGGATGCGGGAGATCGTGGAGGCCACGTGGTGGAGGACCTGAGGATGGGGGAGAAGTGGACGAGGTGGTCGTGGCACTGTGCGGACTGAGTCTGGACAAGACGGAGACGGAGCTGCTGGAAGGACGCGTCGGGGACTGGTGGACGTCGCTGCTGAAGGTTGAAGCGCATCCGAAGGTGTTCATTGTGGACGGCACGTCCATGTTCACTCGTCTGACGAGGCGGCTTCTGGTGGCGCTGGAGTGGCTCGTGCACGCGCTGCATGAACCGGAGAGCGGCTGGATGAAGGACTCGACGTTCCCGTACAAACTCTTCGACACGTCGCTGGTTGCGAGGGATTCGAAGGCTGAGGAGACCAAGTCGGCGGAGTTGCTGGAGATCGAGGAGCTGCATCAAGCTACGTGCACCAACAAGCAGGCCATGTACACAGATCCAGCCACGGGTTACTCCGTTATGGCAGCGTACATCTTGACGGAGCGGCAAGTTTGCTGTGGCAACGGTGCCCCTACGGCCACGCGAACGTCAAGGACCCGTCTCGGCGCAAGAACACCCTAGCTGGTAATATTTTCCTGCAGCCGCGTCGTCGCTCACGCGGTTTCGCGAAGGGATCCCCGGGTGGCCAAAAGCTCTGGCCCGAAGGTGCTGACGCTGGCTCTGACGCGCAGAACGACCTTGTGGTCATGTTTTGGAGTGGCGGGAAGGACTCATTCTTGGCACTGGGTGCCTTGTACGAGTCTTACGCTGTTGAACAGAAGCCTATGCCTCGCGTTGTGCTGCTTACAACGATCGACCCGAAGACAAACGTCGTCCCTATCCAGGACATCCCCTCTCAGACTATTGCAGCTCAAGCCGAAGCTCTGGAACTTCCTTTGTGCCTAGTAGCTGTGGGACTGGGAGACGAGTACTGAGGAACGCACTCCGCGATATTCCGGAGCAAATGAAGCGAACGAAGAAGTCCAGCAAGAGCCCCGAGCAGAACGGTACGACTCCGAGCGTTTCTGCCCTTGTATTTGGCGACCTTCACCTGGACGATATCTCGATCCAGCAGTGCACGCCTACAGTCAAGAAAACAGTACTTCAGTATTAGTTTATGCGTCAACAATTGTGCAATATTTCTCTTTAACAATAACAACACCTCATCGTGAG